AAACAAACAGGAAAAAAACACTCCATAAAAAGCAAGCTTTGTACATTATAAGTTTGGCTCTAAGAACCCTAATTTTCTTCATGTACAAGATGAAAGCTTAATTTTTACTTGTGAAATTTGCCAAGTTGTAATGTGTATAATTTGGCCAACTGTACATTTATTTGAATCTGGTGGGGGAAATCACTGAAAAATGTGAAGAAACAATGGGTATTGGTCCTGTAGGACAACTGCACCTGTATTCCCCCTCTTTGGTCTGGCAAGGAGACCCATTCTTACAACTTCCAGCTCTCCAGTTGTTGCTTCTCTTGGGTGGAGACACGTGTCTCCTTCCCTCCTGACTGGGTATTTCCAGGCTGCATAGATCTCTATCTACACTGTGAATTCCTCAGAAAAGTCAGACTGCCTAAGGAACCCTGCTTTATTTTTCTTCTTGGAGACAGGAAACAGTGTAATTCCAATAGTCACGTTACTACACCTCTTTCTAAGCAAGCACATTTATTCTTAAAGTAAAAGCGTTACTGAGAAAACATTAAAACAGTAAAAGAACCTACGTGCATGCTAATGAGCTTGCCAGAGGTTCCCTCTTATGCCAACAAGAGCCCTGGCTGGTGAATAGTCCTTTAAACCCCACCCAGGGGGTTTCCTGTGGTTACCAGATCATTACATTTTTTGCTCAGCATAAGTACAACCGGGAAATCGATGCTTTACTTCTTTGTATGGTTTTGGGGTCTTTGATTGTCCTCATGTGACAGGTGATCAGCAGATAAAAGGTTCCCACCTTGCAAAGCTTCAAAGGCTGAATTTTTGCATAACCAGAGAAGATGCATTTGCATTCTGGGAAACCTATTTAATTAGCAGTTCATTCTTGTTTAGCTGTTGTTTAAAAGAGTCCTTTTTAAGATCAGCTCTTAAGATACTTAAATTTATTTCAATAAAGTTCAACTTAATTCAGTAAGGTTTGTCCAGGATATGGCAGGGCATTGCTAGATTTTTCACAGACCCTACAAAAACAAGCTTTGTGCTTGTTAACATGTTCTTCTGCAGTGATTCGTGAAGGATATTATTCCCCAAGCTGTGCAGATGTCATTATATTAGGATATACAGGCAAAGATGTTTTTCAAGATGAAGTGCTCTGTACCAACTTCAGAGCAAAATGTGAACACAATGGTTTCAACCAAGGCTTCCCTCAATAGCCCCATCAAATCTACAATTTAAAAATAAAGGAAAATGTCAGCTGATTCAGGGAAGGGGAGAAAAAGGGAGGGATCATCTTGTGTTCACTTTAATCAATTTGTGTGGCACTCAAATATTTTGGTGATCAGTGAAGTATAAGGAGACAGAGAGAAACAGATGAGCCAATAGGCCGAGAAAGTCCAGTCCATGTTTCTGAGAAGGGCCAATATCAAGTGCTTCAGAGAAAGCTGTAAGATGGTGTGGGTTTGTGATGGTCCTTAGTTCCTGGGGCAGTGAATTCGACAGTCTCAGACAGGCCTCTGCAGAAGTCCTGTGTCCCGCACAAAGGAGCTTTACTTACTGTGTCAAAGGAGCATAGTTGTTGACCACATTTTTCATCCCACAGCTTTAAGTAGCACTGGCCCAGGCTGTGGGGTACCTTGAAGATAAGGATCAAAACCTTGAATTTGAGATCCTTGAATTTCTATGGGAAGCCAGTGTAGGGAGCAGAGGACAGGTTTGGTGGACTCATAGTAGCTTCTGTTGTTGAGGAGATGCACTGCAGCATTTTGTACTAATTAGAGTTTTCTAAGTGCTGAATACTTCCTGCCCCGAGATATCACATTGCCATAGTCCTGCCGAGAAGTAACACAGGTCACCTGCTACAATGGAATGGAGTCTCCTCGCCAACCAGCGATGATAGCAGCATCTGTGAGTAATGCTTTCTGTGAGAAAATATAGCGTCAGTGAGGAATCCAAGAGTTCTCCTAGACTATGGACCAAATTGACCAATTGTGGATATGCACCTTCAACCAAAGGTTGCAAATTCTTCAAAGGGCTTTCCTCTGCCTACCATCATCACTGGTTTTGCTCAGTTTTAGCATCAGCCAGCTGTTAATTTATCCATGAGCTGATCTTGTCCAAGCACTTGGGCAATCTTGGTGGTAGTAGTGTGGTGGTATGTGGTGAAGGACAGAGTAGAGTTGTATATCATCTGGCACTTGAGTCCGTGTTGTCTGACCCAAATTGGTGTAGCTGCAAAGCTTCCTGTAAATGAATTGAGAAACTGTTGTATATTGTTCTGGTTCAGCTGGATGTGTGCTAGATATGGTTACAATGCTTGGGACAACTGGTAAAAAAAGATTGACTCTTACTGCAAGGTGCAGTACGTGCTTTGCAAGTTCAGTGTTCCCATCAGTGATTTGCAGTGCCTTTTTTCTTAGTATAAACAGGGCCTTAGAGCTCTGATCAGTTCCTGACATGTCATTTTGTATGAGCACATCAGGACTAAAGGGTTAAGAATATGAAGTGGGGAGCTACATAAATATTTGGGGACACCAAAGCCTTAAGGGCTTGATTTAGCTACATTAGAAGCTCCTCAATACACACACTATAATTGCAATAATCCTATGTTAGAATGCAGCATGCAGATGAAACTGGACTAGAGTGTTATCCAAAGGAATGCACATTGAAAGAGAGAATATTTTTAATTAATCCTTTTTGAAAATCAAAGCGCACTCCTCTTACTTGTAGTCAGCTTGGTGATGGTGTGAAATGAATTTGCACTTCTATAAGGGAAACTCAATTTAGTATGGCGTAGCACCTAATCTGAAAATAATAGATGGCCACTGAACTTCACAGTCCTGATGAGAAGACTAAATCCATTCACTAGCAATTTTCTAGTATATAAACATTTAATCTATAATAGATTTAGACCCTATGAAAGTGTAACTGGATGGTTGAGACACTAAATGCATCTGTTTAATCCCCAAATAGGGGGATAATGCACCTTAATTTTGCTCAGAGTTTTATTAATATGAATGTAACTGAAAACATCATTATTAGTGACTTATGTATCATTATAATTTGAAATGTTGTCAGTATTTCTGTAGTGGCTTCAAAGAAGTTATCATTCATGAAATATTGAATCAATGACCTTAGCTATTCACTTATGATGAAAGGCCCAATATAACATTTTATTGAACATGATATTTATGAAAAATGAAACTGCTCATTTCTATTAATCAATAGCACATTAAGCCATTTATCATTAATTTGATTTTAAAAGGTCACAGTGGAACTGGATATTCCACTCCCTTCTCATCTAGTTTCATTTTAATAATCAAGAGAGCACAAGGAGATAGCAGAAGGAAAAATCACTGCTCTTTTGGTACATTTGCTTTCTTGAGCCAGACAAGTCTAGAAGATCACCCTACTGCTGTCTGACTTGGAAATATTCATCTGAAATGGAAGAACCTGCAGAATAAATAAGTAGTTCTAACTGCTCACAAAAATAGAGTCAGTCCCATTTTACATATTATAATGAACACAGTTGTCAGGTAGAGCCTGACTTTTCATTTTCTCTTGATCACTTCTGACTTGAGAAAGGGGATTAGGTTGAAGCACAAAATGCTGTGACACCTTTGTTTGAGGTAAACAGCTATGCAAACCTGAGTCATTGAAAGGCATTAAATGTCAGTGGAATCTAGCTAAATAAATACCTTTAAAGTGTACTATAAAAATGAATTATTTTTCTTTGTGACCCTTTATTCACATGTTACTCTTTGTACCCCCTTCAGCATCTGACCTCTTTGATCCTTTGTTCTAGTAGAAGGGTGACCACAGTTACTAAAAGGGAACCCAACTGATGCCTGTGATGCTATTACAGCAATTGCACTCTGAAGCCACCCCTCTTCCCAGAAAGCCAACTTCCTGTCTCATGCTACACAGTATGAATAACCCAGTAATGCACTCCTGCTGTCATAATTTTGGAACTGTCTGAAATTTCATGAGTTGTGTATGGCAACCTCTGTCTCTCAGTTGCTAATTTGTTTAAGTGTGTTGTTGCTAAATTAATGCCAGCTATGAATAACCTGAAAAGTCCAAAGAAGTGTAGGATTACTGCAGGAAAGAGAAACAGAGGGAATAGCTACAGGGACTCTGTAGGGATCACGGACTCTCCAGTAAGATTGCTGTGAGGAGGTTTCTTGGGGAATGACAGAGAGGCAGGAATGTTTTGTTACTCCATTGATTCCTAAAGAGCTATCCAAAATCTGTCTCCACCTAATGTCATTGGAGTGGAGCCAGGCTGTATCTAAACAATCCTGCGTGGATGCAGTAAAGAAGCAAATTTTTCTTCATGGATTTAGTGGAATATTCTCATTTTATTTGTCCTTCAAATTGCTACCGGAGTAGTCTGTCTGTCTAGAGAGGATTATATGCCTTTGAGTTAGAGCATACTGTTCTTGCTACATGGGAAAGCTGCTGTCACAGTATATAGCACAGAGATGTGTTTGTGGAATTTTATGCTTAACTCTCCGACCTTTGTTGTTGCGGAATGTGGAATGTCCACAGTGTTTTGTTTTGTTTTTTTTTCTAAGTTGATTTGTGTTTGATGTTTTGGAATTAAAATACAGGAGGGGTCTGGTGTGAAATCCTGAGATTTTATAATCTTTCTTCAGAGCTGGCTTTAGCTATCCCATGCCACACAAAACTGAAATGGGAATATACTGGCTTGGTCTAATTAAAATAACATATGCACACAAAGGTAATGTCTTTTGTTACTGGGTCCTGCTTTTACACCCAGGTATGCAAGCGGGTACTTTTGTGACAGCTTGGAAAACATGTCACATAAAAATTGGTGCTAATATTTTATTAACCCATGCGAAAAGCTGTATTTAAATAATAAAGTATAACTTCATTTTACTCTGTACTTAGTATAACTAAATGTGTTGGATTGTGTCTGATGGATTCCCGTTTCAGGGCTGATTTTGATGATAATGCTTAAATAACATTGTCCTCTAAATGAATTTTGTTCCTTTTCACAGGCCTCTCAGGAAGAGCTGAAAGCTGCCTATCGCCGACTATGTATGTTGTACCATCCAGACAAGCACAGAGACCCAGAGCTCAAAACACAAGCTGAGCAACTGTTTAACCTTGTTCACCAGGCTTATGAAGGTCAGTGGAAGGCTTAGATTTGCAGAAACTGTTTTCATAGTAGATGCTGGATTTTCTGATGCTTGAATTGTGTAGTCTGGCGAAAAAGAGAGATTCCTTTGTGCTCTTTAAAGATGATGGTTAATTTTGCACTTTTCACTTGGTGCTTTGGAAAATCAGTACTTTGTTTTTGAAACTAGTATGTGCCCAAAGAATGGAAAATGAGTACATTTGAAGAGCAAGAGTTGCATTTTGAATTGGAATCCAGTTAGGGTCTTATTTTTTATAATCTCTTATTACAATTTATTTTTAATGGGTGTTTACCTGCCTAGATTGTCAGCTATGGCTAAAACACACATTTTTACCTCCTCCTTATTCTGTGCATTACCTCATGTCGGCCAGACCTCCTGAAAGTGAATTGTATGAAAAATCATTGTGAAAAGTTTGTATGAAAGTCACTTGTACGAAAAGTGTGCAGTAGATGGTTTTTGTACCTCATACTACAGATTATCACAACACAAAATAATAACTTTGCAGTGTGTTCAGTGAATGAGGTAAGGAGTCTTACAATAAGATGTGGAGTCCTTGCCTCATTCATTGTGCAGCTTCACTAAATTTTTCACTGTGCAGTTAAGTTAGCTGTGCAGGATGCTTAGTGTGACCCTTTCTTAGCTCTGTCCTACATGAATTTAATGAGAAAATTCCATGCAAAATGTGCTGTGCATGTGTGTGTTTGCACATGTCCTAACTTGGTCAAAACAAAATACATTTTCTCTCTAGCAGAAGCACTTTTAATCGGAAAAGTGCTGTTTGCAGGTCAAATGTCAACTTTCGGTCCCTAGCCATCAGAGCTGTTTTTAAATAAATAAATAAGTTGCAAGAATGTTTTTATAATGTTGTAAGTCTAAATTTTTCAATCTCTAGTTTTGTTTAAACTTTTCAAAAAATTCACCTTGAACAGAGACCAGTGCTCGAAAACTTCAAATTGAAAGGCAAATTTAGCTGTTTCTTTGTCATAGAGTCATAGACTTTAAGGTCAGAAGGGACCAGTATGATCGTCTAGTCTGACCTCTTGCACAACGCAGGCCGCAGAATCTCACCCACCCACTCCCGCAACAAACCCCTAACCTATGTCTGAGCCATTGAAGTCCTCAAATCATGGTTTAAAGACTTCAAGGTGCAGAGAATCCTTCAGCAAGTGACCCGTGCCCCACACTGCAGAGGAAGGCGAAAAACGCCCAGGGCCTCTGCCAATCTGCCCTGGAGGGAAATTCCTTCCCGACCCCAAATATGGTGATCAGCTAAACCCTGAGCATGTGGGCAAGACTCACCAGCCAGACACCCAGGAAAGAATTCTCTCTAGTAACTCAGATCCCACCCCATCTAACATCCCATCACAGGCTGAAGGGTCCTGAGTTTCCATTCCATTTCTGTGCATTCCCAGCATGGGTAGAGAAACCCACGCTAGGTCTACTCATACTCACATGCTAAACATAGCAGTGTGGCCATGGCAGCATGGGCAGCAGCTTGGGCTAGCCACTGGAGTATGTACCCAGGGGGTCAGGTGACTAGCTCAAGTTACCACCTGTGCTGCCACAGCTACTGCTCCGTTTACAGCACTAGCTGAAGCAGCAGGATGCATCTGTCTACCTGCACTGGGAAGCACGGTCCCAACTGCAGTGTAGATGTACCCTTGAGGTCTTCAGTCCTCTTTTTAGTGAGAATTTCCACACATTCGAAGGCCTAATTAAGGATGACATAGCAAGAGTACTTTGCACTTAACGTCTTCCCCCCCAAAGATCTCCAAGCACTGTACAAACAATGAGTTTAACTCTCTGTTAGGTAAATACTGTTGGTATTCCATGCTATCAATGGGGTAACTGAGTGTGCTGGGGTGTCCACACCACACAAGGCCTGAAAGGATGAAGGTGGCTAGGTGCGCCAATTTACTGCCTGGGCTGCACCTAGAGGAGGAGCTAGGGACTAATTACAAGGACTAATTAAAGAGGAAGCTCAACTGGACAGGAACATAGTATAAAGCCCAGTAGCTGAGAGTAGAAGGGGCTGCAGAGAGAGAGGCTGCAGTCACTGTGAGGGTGATACAAGGCAAGGTAGGAAGTAGCACACAGATATGGCAGTAAGGGATAGGACTGTGCAGACCTCGACTGCTTGTCATAAGGTCCCTACGCTGGGACCCGGGGGGGGGGGGAGGCTGAGTTCTCCTACCAGTCACAGGGGAAATGGCACAGTTAAGGGGCAGTGAAAGGAAAGACTGTTATTCTCTAAAATAAAGACTTTTCACATCACAAATAAAAGCTAATTTTGTATCTCGATTCACTGTTTTTCCTAAAAATGAGATTTTAGTGGCCAGTGAAACAGTCTGAATGTTCTGGGTGATGAATGTGCATAGCTGAGACAATTGAGTCTTACCAGATTTGGATCTGCAGTCGGGGCAGATGCACTGAATCCATATCTGCAAAAGATTTGATTGAAACTGTTTCCCTCAGATTATATTCTGTTATCTGGACTTGGCTGATACAGTCTTGTAGTTGTCTGAATTATTGATAGAGATAGCTTACCACATTTTGGAGATTTGGGGAGAAGTAACTGAAATGTAAGTGAATTAGGAGCCAGTAGGATTGTTCTGTGGTAAAACTGCTGCAGCAGCAAACTTGACATTCGGTGATTTAGCCTAGAGGGAAGTTAAAGCAAAACGGCGAATAAATGATTCCTTATTAAATCCCAGAGAATTAGCTGAAGAAGTTTGGTTCCTCTGTTTTCTGAATGGTCAGCGTTTCTTTCTCCCCATTAGACTTGAACGTGGGTGGAATTGTTTACAGCATCTTTTAATTAAGCCTGAGCATATATGGAAACTCTCACTTAAACAAAGCACTGAAAACCTTGAGTGGGTGATGATGGGGAATGGAAACTCAGGATCCTTCAATTAAAAAAAAAAAAGTTGCATTTTAAATCTTGTTCTGGAAATTCAGAGAGCGCTGACATTCTGCTGAATTTCTCTTTGAATTTCCTGGCTTTGTTTGTTATGTGTTGCAACCTTAAACATAAACTGTTGCTTATTCAGTATCAAATGGCTTTACAGACAAGGTTGGGGATTGCAAAAATTAAAACCCACGACCAACAACATGTGTTAGTCTTTCAGAGGGAATTATGAAAAATAACCGTGCCTCCGTGGGTCACAACTGAGAATACCAATTTCAGGACAAACTGCTGAGAAATGGGGCAGACGCATGCCAAGACTGGAGGTGGTTCTCCCATGAAATATACCAAACCAGCAACAAAAGTAAACTTCTGTCTCAGCATACTGGCTAACAAGAAGTCAGAAAAGCAGTGTCCTTGGGTATTCCAGTCCTTGTATCACCACCAAAAACACTAAACTTAATGATGAGTGGTTATTTAAAACCAATTTCATCAAACCAAAAGGTTCTTCTGATCCCAAAGGACCAGCCACGTACCCAGGTCAATATATAACTCAGATTTTACCCAAAAATCACGCTGTTGCCAATCCTTTAGTATCTAAAATCTAAAGGTTTATTCATAAAAAGAAAGAAAGGTGAGAGTTAAAATCAGTTAAAGGAATCAAATACATACAATAATTGCAAAGTTCTTGGTTCAGGTTTATAGCAGTGATGGAATAAACTGCTGGCTTAAGTCAAGTCTCTGGTTGCTTCCAAATCATTGGAAGGTTCTCAGTCCCTTGGTTAGATGCTCCCTTTAGTATAAGTCCATAGTCCAGAGGTTGGAGTAGAAAAGAGGCAAAATGGAGGGGTTTCCAGCGCCTTTTATAGATTCTGCCATGTGGAGGGAAATCCATTGTTTCAAACAAAGCCCTCAGCACAGCTAGTGGAAAATTACAGGTAAAAGATGGAGTTTGGAGTCACATGAGTGAGTCACATGTCCATGCATGACTAACTTAGTCATGGCCGGAAATTCCATTAAGAGTAGATAGGCATCTTCCATTGAGTTAAGTGTTCATTAATAGGCCACTTAATTTGAATAGTCCCTTCAAGATGTGCCGGCTAAATACTTTGTGAACGTTACCCCAGGAGCAAACTTTTGAAATCCAGGTCTATAGCTAATACTAATAACTTCAAATACAAAAATGATACATGCATATAAATAGCATAATCATATTCAGCAAATCATAACCTTCCATAGACACCTTACTTGACATAATTTGTACAAGATTTGTTGCAATTATATAACAGTGGTAGCAACAATGATCTACATGGTCATATTTTAATCAGATAACGTCACAGTATCTACGTAGGAGAGGTGACTAGCTCGCTAACCTCTCCATAGTTAAGATTGAAGCTAATTTTCCATTATAAACCTGATTTAAAAAAAAACTAACACTAATATCTCCCCTTAGCTTCACCAGATCCAAAACAATTCAACTGAAATCTTAGCCAAGGGTCGAACTGTTCTGGGGAGCTTGGCCTAAAGTACAGAAGGCTTTTGGAATGGATATGTTTGTGGCAGGGGAGCTAACAGATTGAATTAATTTTCTGAAGATTTTCCTATCTTTTTTGTTCACATTACTAAAATGGGTTGACCGATTCTCTTGGTGGTTTGGAGTTTTGCAGGCGTTTGAAATTATATATGCACTTTTTCACTTAAATGATAAGTGATATTAATTTGGTTAAATGGCATTTGGCAAGATGTTATGGCCCAGTGCAAATGTTATCACTTTTTCATGGCCCAGATGGGCATGGCTGTCATGGGTGGAGTAGCAGGCAGAGAACCACATGGAACTGGGTCGATCTGGTATAGTGAGTGGAAGGAAGGAAGACAAATGCTATGATGGCCTGCCCCCTAAAAATGAATGGGAGTTTAAAGAAATTCTCTGGCGAAATAGTGAAATTTTTCACTAAGTAAAGGTCCAATGAATCAATCAATCCCCCCAAAAAAACCTTTCAGGGAATGTTACGTGTTTCTGAAAAAACAAGGCCTTTAAGATGGAAATTCTATTGACATAAAGGCTTTCTACAGTGTGTATCACTGTAATTCTCTGTTAAATAAGAATCCAAAATACTCAGAAGTATGCAAATGCATCAAGATGTATTTTGTAAAAGTAATGAGGTCTTAATAATATGGGACCTTACTACAGCCCTGCCTTTGCTATTAAATCTTTGCTGAGAAGTTAAAGAAAACCAGGTGGCTTTCGTCTAGTGATATTGGGTGTGTAGACAGGACAAATAGGAATTAGCTTAGGACAGCGGTTCTCAAACTTCATTGCACCGCAACCCTCTTCTGACAACAAAAATTTTGAAGGAAAGACTGAAAACTGAGTTCTGTACTCTGAGCATGTTTGGTTTTAATTTGCAGTGCTTAGTGATCCACAGACAAGAGCCATTTATGACATATATGGGAGGAGAGGACTGGAAATGGAAGGATGGGAGGTAAGAGAAATTCTTTACCTTATATCTCACAAAAGGGACTAAATCCAGCCTAATTTGAAATACTTATGATATCAGAACTATCTATTTGAAGGCACTCTTGTTTAGTCATTTCTGTCTCTCTCTTTTAGAACATCAGGATGGATTTTCAAGTAATGCTTGTTTCTTCTTTTTTGAAAAGGGTACAATAAATCTGACATTCAGAGAGTTCCCTAATAGAATATTACCATGAAAAGCAACATCTTTCTGTGACAAACGTGTCATCGGTGTCTTTCCAGTCTCATGCAAATGTCTTTCACCTAAAACACTTTCACAATCAGCTAGTCTGTGAGATTAAAGATTTTATTTTTCTCAGTGAGCAGTTGTAAAGTGCTGTAAAAGAGGATTTATCCATTCCTTATCCTCCCCTTTACTAGCTTCTGCCTGGGCTCAGTTGCTCACTCCAAGCTGGTTACTATGAAATCATTGACTTCTATTCGTTGTCCCACCAGGGTTAACAGAAGCTAGCAGAGCACTGAAATACATTATTGGTTCCGTTCCACAATGAAGCTTGGAATTTGCAGCTGAAAACTTACAGCAGTGACGGTGTGTGGCACTAAGCCATTTTTTGGCCTCAGCATTGTGTGTGTCATTTCAGTTTTAGGAGCCAAATCTTCACCTCTGTGGGTGACTGGGACAAATCTATCCAACACGCTCTGTTATTTAAGAGATGCCAGTGAAACCATTGTAATCAGATTTATACCAGTGTAGTGTGTCCATAAACAACATTGCACCAGTTTAGCGTTTAACATCAGACCAGACCTTGGGCACTATATAAACCTAAATGAGAGATTAATGGGACAGCTATTGGTGGGGGAGTCTCTGATAGCATGGCTCCACTGTAGTTTTCCATCCTTGGAGTCTGAAGGCCAAATCCCTACAAGTGGTGAGAGGAACAAACACCTTTCCCCTGCCCCCCAAGAGCAGATGCTCTTGTGCCCTGTGACACAAGGCAACCCAGTGTTTCCACCTCTGTCTAATGCCATGTTTCTTGCTCCGTTTCAGTCTTTTTCCATGAGTGACATCTTTTTCAATGGTTATCTTATGTTATCTTTTGTCCTCCTCTTATCCTTCTTCCACTGCATGGTGTCCAGTCAAGGGCTTGTCTAGGAATATATATATGTTTTTACAGCTCTACGACATGCCTAAACCACTTCAGTCTTCTTTCTCAAATCATTGTCTTTACAGCGTGTTGGCCTGTCCTTTGTAACACAAAAGCATTAGTTACTTTAGCCCACCAGGAGACACCAAGTATTCTCCATGGACATCTCTGATGGAATGCATCAAGTTTCCTGTTGTGGGCTTCTAGCATTTGCCAAGTTTCAGAAGCATATAACTTTGTGACTATCACAGTAACATTATATAACTTTATTGTGGTTCCCATCTTGTGTTCCGGAGTAGAGTACCGTGATACTGTCTGAATGGAGTCTTTCGCGTCCACTCATTACACTTACTCCAAGAATACTAATATCGAACAGTCATTTCTCTGACTATATGACTCAGTTTCCTACTGTCCCACATGGTTCTCATATTACAACATCCGATTTTAGTTTTGGTTTTACTGTTAGGATCTCTTGTTTCAGGTGATGAATTCCCTCACGGATTTGGTCCACCACCTTCATACCTCCATTCAAACTCATTTGTTGTCAACTCAGTGATTCCTAATGGTAGTATCTCCTTCAGGCTAGCTAACTGAAACAGACGCTTGTTGTTTTGTCTGAGTTGTTTTCATAACTAACTTTTTTACGTGGACAGGTAGTTAGCCTGACTCATAATGTAGGTCCATTGTTCCTTATTCAGTATATCCAGAGCAGCCCATAACATGCATGGGGTTTCCTCATCCATCACCTGAGGTCTTAGGATGCCACAGGTGCCAGCCAAGGAAACATCATGGAGTTTCCTGTCACTCACGTTGTTTTTCTCAATAGGGAGTGATCTGGCCCCAAGTTTTTAATTTCAAACTAAGTGCAAAATACAGTTTAAACTGATTAAATAGTTTAGCAACCAAAAAGAAATCCCATCTATGTCAGGGAGGTCACTTCCACACAATTCATTCTTGAGGGTTAGATTGTGTTGTTTACAGCAAGAAAATAAAGTAGTAGAAAATAAACAGCACTTCTTGAATGGGGCTCCATGCATTGCTCTGACTTCTGGCCAGGAGCCCCCTCTCTCTGTCTCCCAGGCAGCCATGCTTGTAGACCTTTCTCTGAGTACCTGTGCAAGGTGTGAGCATTAATTCCCTGTTCACTAGGGACCAGGTATTGTCCCTGTTCCTTCTTCTGTGGGGACAATATATTCCTGGCAAAATGTCACATGACTTTGTGCAACATGATGATGTAATCCCATCATAAAAAAATACACCCCACAATCAGTTCAAATAGGGAGCATGTCACAAATGAAACATGTTCCTAAAACCTTTTAAATGAATATTTATTTAACCAAATTTGTGGCAAAAAGCTGAGTGGACCAGTCAAATTCTCATATATCAGGATCTGATCTTAGTATTTCATATTAATAATACACCATGTGACAATGTCTGCACTGAAAGATAAAGCCACCTTTAGTGTATAGTACACACTAGGTATTAACTGTGAGCTGTATCAAGACTAATAGGCAGTAGATAAAATGAACCCATTACTTATACTGTAAAGAAAAATCCATCTGAAATGGAGCTTATTTTATAGAGCAAGCATCAGCAGCCTTCAAAGAATTCCTGCAGCTGGATGAATTGTTTGATATAAGTCCTGTCCCACCTGAGTAATAGCTTTCTCTCCAGGGAGGAAGTAGCATTACCTTTGAACAGCTGCCAGTGTTCTAAGTACTGTTAAACTTTTCTACCCTGCGTTTCCTTTCTGTACAAAAGGATTCTATATTCTGTGTATTTGCTGTATGAGGCATATGTTTATGTACAGTCTCTAAGTATGTGTGAGGGGAGGTGGACACCACATGTAACTTGTGCCTTTATTTAATGTCTGAGATTTGCAGGGCAATTTGAGTGGGTTCTGAACTTGGATATATTGGGACCTCCTGAACATGCCAGTTGGAATTTACTAACCAAAATAATAAAACAACCAGTTTAGAAGCATAATAGATTGTCAGGTGGGGTGTGTGGATATGATATCCTGTGAATGTTTCTCATGTGATGGAGACATTCTGCCATCCAGTTGGTGACTCATAGCACACCCAAGGCAATGGGAGGCTTACCTTGCTACTTTGTGTATGTATAACCCCATCGCTTGAGTAGAAATCGATTTTAAGAGCCCTTTATGTCCAAGTGAATGGCTTCGTTGTGTGGACGGGTGCAGGGTTAATTCGGTTTAATGCTGCTAAATTCGACCTAAACTCGTAGTGTAGACCAGGCCTTAGAGATTAACAAATTTATTTGGGCATAAGCTTTTGTGGGCTAAAACCCCATCTGATGAAGTGAGTTTTAGCCCACGAAAGCTTATGCCCAAATAAATGTGTTAGTCTCTAAGGTGCCACAAGGACTCCTCGTTCTTTTTGCTGATACAGACTAACACGGCTGCTACTCTGAAACATGTGACACTCTGAGTACCTTGCCCACACCTGAAGAAGAGCTCAGTGTAAGCTCAAAAGCTTCTCTCTTTCGCTACAGAAGATAGTCCAATAAAATATATTACCTCAGCCACCTTGCTTCTCAGATATCTGAAATACATACATGTGTGTATATATAGAGAGATTTTTGTTATTTGTGTTTTATATTTTTAATTGTAATTGTAAAAAGTACTTTGGGCCAGGAATAGGTGCTTGAATAAAAACATAGTGGCTTGATTTAGCAGTGGATTACAGAAAAAAAAAATCATGTTGTAACATGAAAGGAGATCTTATCTAAAAAGGAAGTGAAAAGCATAGAGTTTTCCAAATTTCATCAGTGATTAAATTGTCTGATTGTTGGCTGGATGTTCTATTGCCTGTTAACCTTTGTTTCTTAATTCCTTTGTGCACAGGTTGTGGAGAGGAGGAGAACTCCAGCTGAAATTAGAGAAGAATTTGAGCGTTTGCAGAGAGAGAGGGAAGAAAGGAGACTTCAGCAGCGAACTAATCCCAAGGTAAAGTAGAAAACACATCTGTTCTCAGGAATGAAGCCTAAAACTGTTAGACATAATGAGGGGTTTTATGGCTAGAGGAGTGATCTGAAATTAACAGCGTCTTAGCTAACCACATTTATTGGGGTTTTTCCCACCCTTTTCTAATGCTGCAATATATAAGGGTAATGCAGGGGAAAAAGCGTTTAGCATGTGGCTTATAGTAAAGTGAATTGTTTTAAAAAGTTCTCTTCTATGGAGAATTCATTGTGCTTCTATTGGTGAGATACGTATTGAAGTAAAAATCTTTCTCGGAACCCTGAGAAAACATTCCAGACACAGGAACTTCTGAGTCCTACACAAATATTCCAAATAAGGTGAAACTCCCTAAGTTCTGTGACAGGTTTCCTCTGTCACAGGTGTGCTGAGATACACTCAAATACATCTTTGAAACTGAATGGAAGAACGACAACTGACAAATCAATTGCGTAGCAGAAATCTTCCAGTTGGAGTTTAGAGAGCAAAATAAGGTGATAAGTAACAGTCAGCATGGATTTGTCAAGAACAAATTGTGTCAAACCAACCTGATAGCTTTCTTTGACGGGGGGAAGCGGTAGATGTGGTATATTTTGACTTTAGTAAAGCTTTTGATACTGTCTCGCATGACCTTCTCATAAACAAACTAGGGAAATGCAACCTAGATGGAGCTACTATAAGGTGAGTGCATAACTGGTTGGAAAACCATTCCCAGAGAGTAGTTACCAGTGGTGCACAGTCATGCTGGAAGAGCATAACGAGTGGGGTCCCACAGGGATTAGTTCTGGGTCCGGTTCTGTTCAATATCTTCATCGATGATTTAGATAATGGCATAGAGAGTACACTTACAAAATTTGCAGATGATACCAAGCCAGGAGGGGTTGCAAGTGTTTAGGAGGATAGGATTATAATTCAAAATGATCTGGACAAACTGGAGAAATGGTCTGAAGTAAATAGGGACAAATACAAAGTACTCCACTTAGGAAGGAACAATCAGTTCCACACATACAAAATGGGAAATGAATGCCTAGGAGGGAATAATGTGGAAAGGGATCTGGGGGTCATAGTGGATCACAAGCTAAATATGAATCAACAGTATAACACTGTTGCAAAACAAATGAACATCGTTCTGGGATGTATGAGCAGGAGTGTTGTAAGCAAGACATGAGAAGTAGTTCTTTCGCTCTACTCCGTGCTGATTAGGCCTCAGCTGGAGTATTGTGTCCTGTTCTGGGTGACACATTTTAGGAAATATGTGGACAAATTGGAGCAAGTCCAGAGAAGAACAACAAAAATGATTAAAGGTCTAGAAAACATGACCTATGAGGGAAAATTGAAAAAATTGGGTTTGTTTAGTCTGGAAAAGAGAAGACTGAGAGAGGACATAACAATTTACAAGTACATAAAAGGTCGTTACAAGGAGGAGGGAGAAAAATTGTTCTTCTTAACCTCTAAGGATAGGACAAGAAGCAATGGGCTTAAATTGCAGCAAGGGAGGTTTAGGTTGGACATTAGGAAGAACTTCCTAACTGTCAGAGTGGTTAAGCACTGGAATAAATTGCCTATTTTTGGTTGTGGTTGTGGAATCTCTCCATCCTTGAAGATTTTTAAGAGCAGGTCAGACAAACACCTGTCAGGGAGGGTCTAGATCAGCGTTTCTCAAACGGGGGTACCCGAGGGTACTCCAGGAGGTCCGCAGGTCCCGCTGAGAAACTCCTCCCCCTCTCTGCCTCCCTCAACTCCTCCCCTCCCTCCGAGCACGCCGGGGAACAGGCTTCCTACTTGCCCTGGCTCCGCGCTGCTCCCGGAAGCAGCAAACACATCCCTGCTGCACCAGGGAGGCCAGAGGGTCTCCACGTGCTGCTTCCGCCCTGAGCGCTGCCCCCGCAGCTCCCATTGGCTGGGAACTGCAGCCAATGGGAGCTGCGGGGGCGGTGCCTGTGGGCAGGGGCAGCAAGCGGAGACTTCCTGCCTCCCCCCACCTAGGAGCCGCTGCCAGAGGGATGTGCCACTCGCTTCAGGAGCCGCCCGAGGGAAGCACCGCACCCCTCACTCCCAGCCCAGAGCCTGCCCCCCCCCCGCATCCAAACCACCTCCCAGAGCCTGCACCACCTCCTGTACCCCAAACCCATGCCCCAGTCTGGTGAAAGTGAGTGAGGGCGGGGGAGGGAGGGGATGATGGAGTGAGCGGGGACGGGGCCTTGGAGAAGGAGCAGGGCAGGGGGGTCACCTCAGGGAAAGGCTGGGGAAGGAGGTGGGGCAAGGGCTGAGCGAGGGGCCCTGGGGGTCCCTGAAAATTTTAAAATAAAAATGGGAGTTCTCGGGTAGCTAAAGTTTGAGAACCACTGGTCTAGATAATACTTAGTCCTGCCATGAGTGCAGGGGACTGGGCTAGATGACCTCTCGAGGTCCCTTCCAGTCCTGTGATTCTATGATAAACCTGAATATTTTGGGGATCTTGCCAGTAGCACAGTTAATGTCCATTTTGAGATAACTTTATCATACTGTTACTACAACAGCTGCTATTCAGTGCATTGTTCCTAGCTCTGGGTCTGCTTGAGCTGCAATAAACTGGTACCTAAATGACCCCCATCATAGCTGAAGCTTAGTTATTTAAATACAGTCAAGGATATAAAGTCTGGTGTTGGTAACAATGTTTTCATGGCAACATTTTGTGTGTGTGTTGTGGGGAAGTTGAAGTCAAATGTGGTGGCCATCCACTGCTTTTTCTCCTCTCCCTGCTGAGGGTAGGAGGACATTCTAGTAGTTCAGGAAGCTGATGGCCCTGATGGATTATTGGCTTGATATCTAGCCACTCTTGGCAAGACAAGGCTGAGGAGCATAGCAGAGATTACCAGCTATTGCTGTTTAAAAGCTTCCTGAACCACATGGCATCCACTTGTTATGCAGTAAAGTAACACAATACCCAGAAGTTCAGTCTCTTGGAGCTGCATTAGCCTAATTTATGCTTGCGGTTTCCCAAACATTACTCAGTTTTTGGCTTTTAAATTAGTTTGCATAAAATAGCAGAAATCCCTATGTGCCTCTGTTTGAAACCGAGGCTGGAAATCAAGTTCTGTGAGGCTTGGGATGTAATCATGATGTAGATTTCACCCCCTCTATCCTGCTGCCCCCAGGCACACGTTGCAAACTCCTTTAGAGAGAGAGAGAGAGAGAATTTCTCCAACTTGATAGAAATCCCTGCATGAGAAAATAACTTCCACTATATTTATAAATGCCCCTTAATTGAGAGAAACTTAGCTGTCTTCAAGCTGCAGCACTGGACAAGCTAGCTTGGGATTCGCAATTGACAGACTCTGCATTAAGAAACACTGGAGTGGGTTTTGTGTTCTTGGTAGCTCGTAATGTAACAAGAAGACTTCTGCAGTGCCAACATCACCATGTTAGTGCATGTATCATAGAATATCAGGGTTGGACGGGACCTCAGGAGGTCATCTAGTCCAACCCCCTGCTCAAAGCCCCCACACAGATTTTTGCCCCAAAACTCTGAATGGCCCCTCAAGGTTTGAACTCACACCCCTCGGTTTAGCAGGCCAATGCTCAAACCACTGAGCTGTCCCTCCCCCCATCCCAATGCAGTCCCAATGCACTATGTTTTAACTTGCTTCTTCATCAGCCGAGATTCTACACTGGTGCAACCATTGTCTTGGAGAAATGATAGTGTTTATATTACCAGGGATATGAAAATATACTTTTTAAGATGGATGTGGGTAATGTTTTGGGCTCCATCAGAGTAGTATCCCTTTAAAAGTTTCCTGTACTTGACAGTTAATGCGAATTAAGGTAGTGTGTGAATTTAAAACACAATAGGTGTTTCAGATCAACTCCATGTGTAGACATCCTTGTTTCAAAATAGGAAACAGAGTGGGTTAAACTAAACAGGAGCAAAGCACTCTAATGCTGGAATAAATCAGGAACAACTGTGTAGATACTGTTTATTGCATGGAAATAATCCAGTGAATGTCTAAGTGAGGAGTTACTGTAAAATGCAATACTGTTTTTTGTTTTTTTCTGCACTTGATACTTTATATTCAACATGTTTAATGTTTTGCACTGTTATTTTCCTTCCCACTTCGTTCTATTATGAGTCTGGTGAATTAATTACACTACAATACACAACTCTTCTTCTGCACCAAAACTTTACTTTTCTTCACAATTCCGCACCTGTCATAATACTAAAATTATCCAGAGTTCCTTCCCTAATGTTCTCCTCTTCTTATGGGTACACAATGTGGCTCACACTCATCCCTCTTAATGACAGCCAGCAGAACAAATGCTGGCTTCAGTGTCTGGACACCTGGTGCTCACCGTTACTGGCCAAAGAGGCAGAGCAAACAGAACATTTTATTAAAAGTTTTATTTCTTTAAATCTTTAAAAACAGAAGAAAATATTTATACCACCAATAAGGTGCTCGGTAATTGTTGTTTATTGTCTGGTCTCTCTCTGACTTATTGCGTAATTAGAGTGGAGATCATGTAATGTAGATATAATTCACCAGCAAAGAGAGTATTGAAAGACTTGCATGGGTCTGATTTTAAAAAAGAAGAGCACAACAAAGATTTTCACCTTTATAGATCTTTCTGTAACTTTTCATGAATGAGAGGGAAGGGAGTGAGAGCAGTGACAGGGTGTGAGGTGAGTCTAGGTGCCTGTCACTTTTTGTGGTGTCATTTCCTCTCTCTTAATATAGGCGTGTGTAGGGAGAACTTGGTTTGATTTTACATTTCTCTTTTTCTAATCCATGGATTAGAATTGGCTACCCGGGGCCTGGTCTTGTGTAGTTCAACAGACAATGTAGCCTCCCACTCCACCTACCCTGATCTGATAAGTCTGCCCCAATGATAAATATGTGTGTCTTGCCTGTCGCTCGGAAAGGACATTCGAGCTAAACTCTGTCTTTGAGGCTTTAACTGAAATGATATTGCAGCTTCCATTCCTTCTTCAGCTCCCTGGCTGTAGCTTTCTC